GGATATTTTTTTAGTATAGTTTTAGGTAGTGACATATCGTTCGAATCCAATTTCGAACGTTTCTGACCACCAGTGAGTGCTGCGGCGTAGATATTACGGAGGGATCCATTACCTTCAAAAAACGTAAAGAAACGTTCAAAAAGATCTCATTTTGTAAATCACAGCAAAAGAAACATAACCCTTCTTCCTGCGGAAATCCGAACCAAGGGGTGAAAAGGCGTAGGGCGCATAGTTTCCGTGTTATGGACGAAGGTCATGTAGAAGTGTGTGTAATTTGTATTGCGGGTTGCATGTGTGTCCGCTGCATCCCTTGTGTAATAAACTTTGAATTTCCATTTTCTTCTTAATCTATTTCTGCTTTTCTCTGTTCGACGTTGACCGGGGGTAGTTACCTCTCCATTAGTAACTCGGGAAGATAGGGGCGGAGAATTGTGGTTCCCGCCTTGCTCTATGAATGATGAGTTGCAAATAGAGTATAAAGGATATATATTTCGATAAAGCGGGTAAGTCGTTTTATATTCACAATGATTTCTGTGTTACTGCTTGAAGTTTGGTTTTTATTCGCACAACGAAACGATCAAGAAGTTGGTAATTTCTCTTTACTTGTTTTTGAATGTTTCGCCCGAACGTCAACCACAAAATCGAATAATTCGTTCCGTTATCTTCTTGTTGAGTGCATTGTATTAGAATGCTAATTAATAGTTGAAGTTTTCAATAATTCATTACTTTCTTAAAATTGTATTTATTTGCCGCCAAAGTGGAACATTGTATGTGTACGTAGGGAGAAACCCGCGCGTATGTTTATGATGCATTTACATGGTAGCAACCTTCTCTGAATATATTGTCCTTCAGCGAATTGTTGACTTTCAGAAACACGATTTATTCTTCACTGAATGTTAAAATTCATGAAAGCGACAAACAGTAAGTCATGAAGGAGTTTGCAGAAAGTTTTATTTCGTCGGCGCACGTGAGCTCAAGAAACCACTGCATGGCGCTGGCTCGCCGCGCCAAAGCGGTCGGAAAGCAGACGGGGAGGCCAGCAGGCAGGCAGACAAGCTTTTCGTTCGGTCCGCGTGGGGGCGACTGCGAAAACAAACGCATCCGCGGCCGGCGAGAAATGCGCAGCGGTAGAGGCAGAGGCTGGAGAGTGAGGTCAGTCGGTGGCAGTGAGCTGAGGAGCTGGTCTAAAATGATTTTTTTCGAATGTGATAGAATAATAATTATTTTGTGTTATGCAACACATTGAATATTCTGTTGTTGTTTTGTTTTTTATTGAGAATAGCTTACAAAAAAAAAGCGACGAAGAAAGGAACTACTGTGAACTTTTCTATTGCTTAGGACTGGATTATTTGTTTCCACTTGTGCACAGAATTATTTCTATATTTAGAACTGTTACAAAATCGATGACGTTCAGAAATAATCGTTCATAAACTGATCATCCATTCGAAGTACTTACTAGTCCAGGACGAATATGATGTTTTCTTCCTTCTCTTCAGTAGGTAGGAGTAAGTCTGCCTATGTGAGGTGAGGGGTGGCGAGGGCACCGGAGGCGGAAGTGAGGGCAGTGGCGAGGGCGGGCGCGGGGACGGAGACGACAAACTAACGAAGCGGGGAGCGGGACGCGAGAGAAGAGTGAAGCGTGGGCGGGGGCGGAGTTCGGGTGGCCTCGCAAGGACCGCGTTTGGCGCACTCATTAGCGCTGGCTACCGCGGGGGGCTACCCGCCCGTGCGCCAGGCGGCGATGGATCTACGGAGCTTCGGCAGAGTGCGTGGCTGTCTCTCCACTTGACATGATGTGGACAGGATTTTGGTTTATTTCTTTTGTTGAGCTTATCAAATTTACATACTTCCAATTAAGGGCGGGCGGCCATTAGTGAAGAGTTCAGGGGGTTCATTAATCAAAAGTAAACCGAAGAGGGTTAATAAAGAAGAGCAAATAAAAGGCGTAATACTGAGGGGCGTAATAAAAATTCACTTCCAAAGACAAAATGTGTCAGTCCAATGAGAGTGCAAATGTTCTGTGGATCTCCTTCGAAGCGGTGGTTGTTTGGCAGAGATGTTAATGTAACTAATTTTTTCTTCCTTCATTGAAACTTCCTTCTCTCTTTCGAGGTCTTAATGATGTCATGAATTTACAAGTGCGTGGTAAATTATTCCTACGGGGAGGTGCAGTTTGCGGCTTGATCTGCAGGGAAAATTCTCACAACGTGTTTCCCATATCCATCTTCATGATCTTTCTCATTATATCTGTTTAGAATTCGTAATAAGACAGACGTAGAAAAAAAGGCGCAGACATCTGCGAAATCAAAATTTCGAGTTAACGAATAAATGAATCGGATTTTAAAAGCTCAGGTACAATTCCTGTGTATGTAATGATATCTGCGTAAGTCACAGATCTGCCATTCTTCAGGTAATGCCAGCTTCAAGTCATGATGTTACGAATAGAATGGCAATAATGCAATGAAATTCAAATTCGTCTTTTCGAGTTAAAACTGTTTCATTATCTGATAAGAATTAGTTTCAAGATGTGCACGATACACACTTGTAACCTTTTTATGTGTGTGTCAATAATGGACAGAAATATGTTTTACTGTGTTGCCTGTTACTTTATTTAATTGTTTCTCTCCCTCCCTCCTCCCCTCACTCCTGTTTTTTTTCTCTCTCTACCTAGCATGAGTCAGTTATTTGGAACCCCGGCTTCTTTTTTTACTAAAAAACACGTGATTGATCTCGTAAATGCTCTCCGTTATTCACTCTTGGGTAAAAACAACTTCAAAGTTACTTCATGTGGCGTTTTACGAATTGTTACACTCGTGTGACGCACTTCCTATCTGTTTTCTTGGATCTTCAATCTCTATAAAAAATTATAAGTATGGTAAACCCGGCCATAATCATGATCAACACGTGTGTGATGATTTCATGAGAAACACGTTTTGGTGTCCTTGAATGTGAGAAGTTGTCGTATTATTGACGCAATGACTTCCTCTAAAAATCGTGAGAATTTCATTAAATATATTTAATGTTTTAAGGTCTACTAGTCAAAGTTTCCCAAAACAATTGGTTACTATGTGACCCGATTGTTAAACATCAACCAAACTGGTATGTAAGGTTTGAGGATTGAAACAATGACATTAGAACTTGGTTTTGATTTACATTGGCAGGCTTACTCATATCTGCTGAAGAGGAGAAAGAACAACATCTGGTTCGTTCTGTACTAGTATGTAGTTCGCATGGACGATCTTTTCACGTCCTATTATTTCTGTACGTCATCAATATTGTAACAGTTCTAAAAATGAAAATAATTCTGGGCGCAAATGGAAAAAATAATCGAGATCTTGCATGGCAGGTTAGCAGTAGACAAGTTCAAAGTAGTTCCTTTCTGCTCCTCTTTTTTCTGTTAGCTATTTTCCAAGAAAGAAACAAAACATAGAATATCAAGTGCGATGCATCGAGACGAAATAAATAGTATTCTATCCCATAATTTAAAAAATCATTTTAGACCTAGCCAAAATGAATTATTGAAGTGCATCATAATGATCGAAGAATTGCAGAAAGGTGCATTTACAGTAGGAAAATAAATCACTGACCATTCATTCTGCGTTATAATATGGATGGCATTTTAGTTTACAAGCTTTCAGGTTATGGAGTTCAATAAATGCTGATTGAATTGTATTGGAAAAAAGTAAGAAAAATATGTTGGTGGTCTAGAGCAACTCTTCCATATAGTATACGGTATTGTATCTCATGAACTAGCGGTTGCATACGCAGATCTAACTGAATATACCTACACACAATTCGCCGAAGAATAGGGTAGTGTCAGAAGCTAGCATTGCTACATTTTGAAACGCCTTGGGAAGTTTGCGTCTATGTTCATACAATTTCCATGTTTCAAGTTCGTTCACCCGGTGAGTAATAAAACTTCTGGAGCAACTTTTGTAGGCGGTCACAGGCAGGATTTGGAGTTCTCGTAATAAGGTTTGCTTATGGGTGAAATAGGGTGATGATTTGCTTGCTGCCTTTGTTTGTTTTGCTTCCACAATGTTTGTCTTATTAGTATATGTATCCGTGCTTGATTGACAACAGAATCCATAAACTGCACTGGATGAGAATTAGTTATGACAACAAACTTGATGTAGGGATCGTGAAAACTTGAATACAAGATTTAATTGATTTTGCTCACTCTTTGATACCTGTTAAGTATGCTAACAAGAGATCAATATCTCTAACATTTTAATGCCTGGGAATAAGTTAAAACTGTGATCTTATGTTTTGCTTTTGAAAGAAGATCCAGTCATTTAAAGAAACTTGATTTATTATTGGGCAACAGCATTGTCTATTTATTGACAAAACACCATTCTCTATTATTATAGACGGCAGTTTTTTACTCATAGTATTCATGAATAAAATTGCCTGTAAAAGAAAGGAATTTTGGAATATGAAGAACAGTATCACCCTTGCAAGAGGAATGAGTGTGTTGCGTAGATATGACCTCATATCACAGCAGCCGAATTTCGGATTGACAAGGAACAAAAGATATGACAAATAGTGCCTTTTATGTTGTCGAATGTAAAATATCTGAAAGGAAGAGCTAAGTGATAGGGTTGGATGACTAACGAGTGTGATTATGAATTGGCTGCCATTCAAAGGATTTACTCCACACAAATAATATATTATACGTTTGTTTTACAAAGCGTTTTTTTCAACTTTTCCCTTCTAATTGATTTCCATGCGAGACTAGCATCTTATGTTTACAGAGAAGTTGAAGACGATCTAATCGACGGAATACTACCAAGCAAACACCACTTACCCGCCGTTGTGTTTGATTTGCATCATTTAATATCTGAACAGAAGTAGTGAAGTACTACCTTATGCAACTTTAAAACCTCACACAGAACCATTGCGCGGCCCTTATCAGGCAGCGGTGACAGAACTCGTGCGAGCGAGCGCTCGGTGAAATGTTTGGGAGTAAGAAAAAGGTGTTTGTGGAGTCTAGGGGCTACGTGCGTCACGCCTTTGACGGTGCTCCATCCATAAATGCATAGGAGGAGGAGGCGGCGGCGGCGGCGGTGTCGCGACGCCAGCGTCGTATGCGGTCTCGCTGCGACCCGCGGGGGCGCCGCCGCCGCGTCGTCCTGACGAGCGCTTGCTTGCGGCCTTCGCGTGCCTCTGTGGACGTCGGCAAATTTGCTCGCGTCTCCAGTGCCAACAACAGCCACGGCTGCAGCCGAGCACTGCCGGCCGGCGCGCTCGCCTCGCCTCGCCGACCGGTTCGCTAGCTTTGCTTCTCTGTGGACGCCAATGTACCTACCGCTTTTTTAATACTTTTTTTTTTTATTTGCAATCTGGTTTGTCAAGCAATCTCATGTGTTTCTCCTCCCCACCTCATTCGTCCTTGTCCTTTGTCTCCCCCCTTTCCTTCTGCCCCTCCTCCTCCTCCTGCTCCTTCGTCCCCGCATCCTTTCTTCTTTGCGGGCTATGTCCATGGTGAGATGGTGACTTGGATGAAAAGCTGCGAAAATGGTTGTTTATCCTTGCTTTGAGACTATCAGACGGTGAAAAGCCGTCTTATGTAGAGTTCAAACTCACAGCCCTAGCACATACGCTGCGTAATTTAGGTCGACTTGTTTTCCTTGATATCAAATTGATGAGGTTGCGTTATAATTAACGGTTGTAGCAGAATCATTATAATCAGTTTAGGATACGATATATGTGATTTGGCAATGGTCTCGAGTTGAATATATTTTGTGTCTATTAACTAAAGACCTCAATCAAGGGGATTGTAGGTTATCATATGTCAAATAAGAAATGTAAGAGATCGTGTTCGTGCTTACTTACATGTGTATTTTGGAAATTTCGCAAATCTCGAGATGAAGTTTAGGAGTTTCTTGTGTTGAAGAAGGACGCAGCAACGTATTAACTGTTTTACTTTGGCATGTTGAAATAAGATGATATCCGTTACAAAATATACATTTTAAAACATTAACATATCTATTTCATAATTCGCACTTGGTACAATGAGAAATCCATCAAGGTACGAAGCTTATCTCGATAGCTAGTCTTGTAATAGGAAGATCATTGAATCTTTGGAACGATCGAAGATCTTTGCTTTCTTTTGTCCGCGGATATAATCTTGACCCCGTGATAACGATCTACACGTTATCCCGTTTTCAATCGCGCACGTATTTTCGACGAAACCGCTGTTGCACTCTGAGCTAAATCCGTCCGTCCAAAGGAATCTTTGGACTCTCGCATCTATTTCTCGCTGGGGACATCCACCGAAAGGAGGCTACGGAGACTAATCTCGCGCGCAGCTGACGGATGTCGACACAGCGCGGCCGCCTGCGTCACAACGGGGCGATGTTCCGCCTGGCGCCTCTTGGCTGCACGCGACAAAAAGCATATGCCGCACAGAGGGGTTCTCAACACGTAAAAACAGGGCACGCGTGGACGAAATGCAGGGTAGAATTAAAATGTTGATTTTTTTTATTCAGCCCAGTGAAGCGTAATTTAGTTTGTTTTCTTGGCATTATAATGGCGATATAATTTCAATCGTAAATGATGAATTTATTCTGTGGTGTGATAAACAATTCTAATTATTTCCTGCGAATTTTATTTTGCTGCTAATATAAGTTACGGGTATTTGTCAATTTGTTAATGTCCTTTTCGCAGATTCTTAAATGGAAGGTATGTTCATTTGAGCATTCATACTTTAGTTAGACATTTAATTAAAAATAATATCGCTTTCGTTAAGTTCAAAGTAAAGGATAATTTAAAACACGTCTCACTAAGATTTCGTTTTCTTGGAAATTGTGAACGAGGAGTTTATTTTCTGGTCCGGTGAACAACTGAAAGTCGCTGTTGCAAATTTTATTTTGCTATTTCCATTTTTTAAATAAATAAATAAATACATATTTATCGATATATGTTTAAGTCTCTTCGACAACAGTCACATGAAAAGAATGAGAGATGTGTTTATTTGCATATGATCCTCTCTTTTAAATAGTTTTCTCACTCATTAAATTAGATTCTCCAGTTCTTATCGTCGCCTTGGATGCTTAATTTTTCACCATACCTTGTGTTGTAAGGAAACTTAACAGTGAATTGTTAACGTCTATATTTATAGTACGACTATTTAATATAAAAATTACAAACATTTCCGTTCATTAAAGGCACGCCAAAATGAAACCAAAAGTCATGCAGTTGATCGTTGCTGTTAGGAGATTTCTACGTTACTAGATTTTTAAATCTGTTGTATATAATTTCAATCGTGAAATAGTATTTAATAGTCTGGTATTTATGGTATTTTATGGCATCAAGGGTATAATCTTATATGGCATCAAGGGTATAATACCATTCTTGTATTGGAAATTTCCAGATTTGGGAAAATTTCTAATGCACTCTTGGTATCAACTATGATGAACCATCTTAGAAAGGTCCTCTTCCCCTGTTTTGCCCGTTCTGTCCCACCCACATGGCATTTAATAGTTGTATTCAATACCATTCGTGCGCTGGAAATTTCCATGTTGGGAAATTTCAATGTTCTCTTGGTATTTACTATGAGGACCCATCTTAAGGCGGCTCCACACATTCGGCATTACCGAGCAGCTGATGTGCTTGGCGAATGTTCACTTTTTTAGATGTGTGCATAAGACCGACACCCGGTGAGTGGGCGCACCGTTTGTTCGTCGCTCGGCAAACAGCAACCAACCCATCCACTCTGCTCGGTATTCGGCGGGCGGTCGCTCGCTACTCGGCCGAATGCTAATGCCGAATGCGTGGAGCCACCCTTAGAAAGGTCCTCTCCTCCTGCTGAGATTCGACCCGTTCTGACCCACTGTGCGCGTCGCCACCGCGCCGCGTGGCGCAGTGCGTTTGACCTCGACCTCTCGGCTGGAGGGCGCGGCGCCACGGGCTTTTCTCCAAGGGGGAAAGACGCCCGGCCACCGGGGCGCTCCGGCGAGGGGAGCCAGGTAGTGTTTGCCTGGGACGACATTGTCCGCATTCCAACCATTGACGACAGCGGAGACGCCCGCCGCTTCTGAGGGCCGTTCAGTTGGATGACACACCACTCTGGTTCCCCGCTTCTCCGTATTTGATGTGTTTTTACGCGCGCTGAGATTGGCTTTCTTATGTTTTCTAAGGGATTTCATTGGAATGTAGCGACGTACATAAAATACAGTTTTAAAAGTGATGTGGATGAAGGTTGAATTTATCTTCACGAGCAGAAATGATCAATAAAACGGCATATATTGGAAAAAATAATCGAATATATATATATATATATATATATATATATATATATATATATATATATATATATATATATACTGTAAAAAATGATCGGAAGTAAACGAATATTATTATTATTATTATTATTATTATTATTATTATTATTATTATTATTGGGGTCTAAGTTTCCATATCTAAATGTATTTCCGTAAGGTGTAGGATCTACCTCAGAGTGGACAAGAAACGATCCGATTTCTAATGCACAGCTATCTAGTAGGTTTTTCTTTGTAAAGTAAGCTGGGGAAAGTAGACCAAACCTGTGCAGCCTATTCTGGAACCTACATTAAACACTTTCATTGCTGTCACACTTACTTTAATTCCGGTTTGAAATGCCGGTCCTTTTATAATATTGTTTTGGAGGAGCAAATACGTTAAAAGACGGTGTATCATGAATTCCAAATGGTCATTCGAACACTTTCTCAGGAAAGGAAAGCAAACGAAAGAAAAGATTCGCTTCCTCGGAGAATTGATCTTCTTGATTTTAAACTTAATTGATTGATTCCAAGATGCTGGGCGCGTCAACCGCTATGGTCATTAGTTTCATAAACGTGATGCACGTTACATCTCTGGCGGTAGTGCTGTTCCTCTTCCACTAGAACGCGAGATCCTATGCCGATCTACTCATCGACTGGCGATGGTTTTTCTCTCCAGGTGTCTCCGCCAGCGGGGCACCGCCCCAACCACGCCCTGCTCTAAATTTCCGAATTGTCTTTCTACATGTAGTGCATGGAAGTGTACACGTGTGTGTATAAGAGGAGAGGACAAGGATGAGGAAAGGAAAGAATACGTGACCCGTTTGTCAATGCTGCTCAGGTATTCACCTGGAATTGATCGGAGAAAGCCCGGAAAACAGCTAATCAGAGCTACCGGCCACTAGAATTCTCCTCCAGACAGCTGCAGAAATCGACCTAGCTATCTAGCTAGCTCGAAAATCTGACACCGTCGGGATGATCCTTAAAACATGCCAGTTAATAATGCTGCAGAAGTAACGGAGTTGTCGCTGAGCAATCGCAGTCGGTACATTCATAGTGATCCTTATGATGCTATTAGTACTTTATTAAATAGATTTCATAGGTTAAGTTTAATTCCTGGTGCCACGAGGTAATCGACTGACATGTCTATCTCTTGCTGTCGAAAGTCCTGCCACAGCTGGGAGTCGAACCCTAGGACCTCCGGGTCAGACATTGCAGTGACAGCATTGTTACCCTGAGCCACCTCAAACGGTTGATTTTGAACTTGAGAATGTGGTGATCTGATGTGGCCTCCGAGCCATAATTGACCTTTTGATTGAGGCTTCCTGATTGCGAAGGACATAAGCAGTGACCTTGCAAATCGAGGTTCCTGCGGAACATTGCCGCAAAAGATTACAGGCTATTAGGGTGCGGAAGAAGTCTGTAATCTTTGGGAGTACCGTGCTCTTTAAAGGGGTAAATTGCTAATGGGCTGGTTTCTAATGCAGCAACGGCCGTCAGTGCAATCGGGACTTAACACACAATATGTGATACAATTCTGAATTGTATAGTTCAAAAGGAGATGATTGTTTTCGATAAGATGAGAGTATATATCAAATTAAATTAATAAATTAGTTCGTTTTTTCTCTACTGTCAAATTTATCAATGTCGTTACTAAATTGAACGTTATTTATGTAAATTTAAGATTCCATTAAAATTACCTTAATTAGTGCATATTAGATATGATCCCCATCAAAATAACTACGTTAAATGTCAGTTGTCTGTCAAGTGGACGAACGTAACAGGAATAAACGACCCTTTTAAAATATAATGCTAATGTCACTTTGCGTGCGTTATTTGTATTACTGTATTTAAGAATACATTAAATTGGAGCAAGCAATTTCCAGGGTCTTCCGAGCCATTTCTACCTTTGAGAATGCTATCGTCTGGAGATAGTGCGTCCAGTTAATGTTTTCATGCTCTTTCCTCCGTTTCCTCCATTTTTTTTAACCGGCCCTTGATTCTCGACCGTCCAATTAATTATTCGGCATTTACCGACTTCCATTATTGTTAATAATTAATGGCTGTCCAAAAATAGTGATATTTCGTATTGTGATATGAATCCAGTATTTAAGGCAATGAGGAAGCGATCCTTCTGCCGGGAGGTGCTGCCCATGAGTAGATTGGGGGGGGGGTAGAGAAGTTGAAAGGGATTGGTGCCGGGATGGAATTTCACCTATCTAAAAAATCCTACTAAAGAATAATTTCTGTAGTAATTAGTTAAGAGCTCATCTTACTGTAAGTCAGGAATGCCAATGTGCTGGTAATTTAACATTAGAATATGAATATTAAACTTAGTTATTAAGACAAAACCCCTCCTCTAGCTGCTTAAGCCGCAAGCTTAATGTACTCAATCGATAGAAAATAAATGCCCGTCTCCACATGGTTACTGTGGAGGGAACAAAGTAAAAAGTGCCGGGATGGCGAGGAATGAGCGGACGGAGAACTGCAGAGGTGGAACAGGGACGGAGGTGCCGCCCTGAGGACCAGACGCAGAGCGTGTTCGGAACCGACCACGTGCACGACGGAGCGAGTTCGTATCGAAGAAAAGAAAGAGTGGGATTGGTGTGGAACGGATCAGAGGAGGTTCAGAACGGAACATGAGCTTGCCCGAGCTGGTTGCATCCGGAGCTAATGCACAGTAATGCCGCTTCGAAGCGGAACTGGTGCAAGGCTGAACCGGTTCGGAGCGGAGCGAAATCTAATCCCAGGATTGGAGTGGAACGTAAAGGGGGAGGTTCCGAGCGGAGTTGGTGCACGGCGGTGAGCTTTCGGAGAGGGACTGGTGCTTGGCCGAGCGGGTTCGGAGAGGAGCTGGTGCATGGAGGAGCGGGTTCGGAGAGGGACTGGTGCTCGGCGAAGCTTGTTCGGAGAGCGGCAGATCAGAGCGGAAGCGCTGCGGGCGCGGTGCGAGCGCACTGGAGAAGCCTTGGTGGCTCTCCGCTGCTCCCAATGCGCGAGGTCGCGCAGGAGGCCTCCGTCGCCTCGCGTCCTCCGCCGCCCGCGACCTCTGCCTCTGCCTCGGCGTGCGCCCGCCCGTCCGCCCGCCCGCTCGCGCCTTCGCGCCAAGTGCAGCGGAAGGCATCCACGCCCACGCAAGCGTTTCGTCTGGCGGAAGTCACCTTGCGGGCGTGGATGCGAAGTGCAGGTCGTCCCACAGACATTAGTTGGTGTTCGCGAATTAAACTTTTTAGGACGTACACCTCGAACCTCTACCACAATCACGTTGGCGTACATGTTTACGTTGCTGCTACTGAAATAGTTTTGTAAACATTTGGCTTATTACGTATTACGCATTACGTAGATATAAATTATTGAATTTGTTAATAACCTTGATGATATTCTCAGTTTTTGACTTTCATTCATTACTAGTCTCCGAAATGATTTTCCTCTTTGATATACTGAAATGAATAAATATCTTTCTGCAAATTGAATATCAATTTTTCTCTCCATGTGCCGTATTAAAACAATTCAACATGTGGAAATGTTCCTTTGTTAAGTTAATAAATATCTTAAATGGAAAACCTGATAATTAAAATTATATGTAATTAATGTATATTATAGAGTAAATATTATGATGGAGATATTATGAACTTCATTATTACTGCTTTCTTCAGCTATTGCAATCGAAATTGAACGGCGCTACTTTCAACCTACTTTCATCAAGATGGGAACAAAACACTAGTGGTCCCGGCACAACAAGCGTCAACGACACCACCAAGACGACGTACGTCTTTTCTTCGAACATCTTTCCGACTGCCTGAATACAATAAAACGCTCGCCGCAGAGAAGCCATACGCACGTCTTCCATTGGGGGTTGATTTCTTTCACTCATTACTTGCGCCACACCTGTTGTATCGTATACAAGTCTTCTCCGATTTTTTTAATGTTGTGACGAAGAAAGAAGAAAAGTACCTCTCACTTGTGTTGGTAATACGTGAACCTTGAAACCTTCTCGTGGTGATTCTATCTAATGTCAGGGGAGAGGAAGTGGATTATTTTTAGAGGCTATAAACATCATTCTGTACTAAAATACCATACTTGTCATCAGTACTGTATCTGTCTCTCTCACACACTCATTAACGCACACATGCACGGTGTGTTTTGGTCAGTTTGTTCTTCTAAATAACTGCCTTTGCTGACGATGCGGCGGTACGTGAATTTTGGATATTCAGTAATTTCGTGTGAATAATGACGAATCCGCTACGACGCATTGCGATGGTGTTAGTTACAATCAGCATTATACTTTCTTCGTAGCTCTTGACGTATACATGTCAACTGGTCAACTGTCTTCTCGCAATAGTGTGAACTTCTCGTTTTTGTTGACTGAATCTGACTGAAGTTTGTATTGTGATGCAAGATGTCACACCATCTTTGTTGTTTTTTCTTATTCACAATATAATCGTCTTCGAATTTTCTATGTTTCCTTTAATGTTTCTCGCTTGTTTTAATAAAGTGTAGTTTCATACATTCTGAATACACAAGGAATGTACTACATTTCAAAAATTGGCGTTTTGGAGAAGAACGGCCAAGTGGAGCCGCGCCATATCATGGACAAAGTCAAAGTGTTTTCTCTCAGCTGTCTTATGTACTATTTTAAATAAATGATTACGAGCAAAATGTATTATTTTTTAAACGTATTCTTTCGCAAATGCAAAACGTACTATTTTTGTGATGTGTCTCTTTTCTTGTGCTCCGATGATTTCACGAATATAAGGATCGAATGGGGCGGAGGGATTCGCGCTGAAGCATTACACCTGCTTATAAAAGGGTTCAGGTCTCGAGCTCTCACCAGGGGAATTCTAGTCGACAAAACGCGGATTGCCTCGCTGATTGAACATTTTAACATCGATTTCTCACCAAATCATTGGTCCAAACGAAAGCACAGGTGCAAGGCGATCGTAATATTTCGTTTCTTTCTTTTGGATTTTTTTGACCGAATCCTATTAGTCTTCACCCTTCATAAGATGTGTCACGAACCGTAACTTACGGCTCGCTAACACCTACTGGTTGTATGGGCTCAGCAGAACACTAGACCCTGCGCGGCGCGACACGTCACCCAGACAACTAACATCCATTCCGGGGACAGTATTCGAACCCGCGACCTTCCACACGGAAGGGTCGAGTCGGTACGCACTCAAACAAGCTTGGCCATGTAGGGAGGCGTCGTAATAAAGTAACTAAAGGTTTAAATAAAACACCGCTGAAGTTTTTATGACTGTCGCGTTTCATTTTTGCCTCACTCTCCTCTCCAATCACGCGATCTCTGCCCCGTCGCCAGCGTGTGTACCCACGACGAGGGAACGCGATCCATGCACTTTACAATATTAGCGTCGCCGTGCGGAGACCGGCTCCCGCGCCAAGGACGACGACCCGGCTGGCGCGGCGACGCACGGTGGCTGGGCAGTTGCAAACGCCGGACCAAATGGTTCCCTAAACTGACCACTTAACTGTACTCAGGCACATGTAAAAAGAAAAACTTATAATGCTTCAGGTTACGCATTGTACTTTCATGTGCTTATCCCATCGTAATGTGTAGAAAGCATGTTACACGTTGGAAATCTTTGAGAAGTCGCACGCCCGTAGATTTGAGATTCACATGTTTTATTAATTTTGAATGTGATACAAAATGATTTTTTTCTCTGCTTATTTCTCATTCCTAGTTATAATTCTCACAGAAAATATTACATTTATTTTTTTTTTACTTTTTTCTTGTCACAGGCATGATAGGAATAACATTACACCTTCCTTGAGCTACAAAAAATGTATCGTTATGCCAGTCATGAAACTGGAACAAACAATTCCCAAAAGAGTCGGGAATATGCCTGTAAAGGGGGCATTTCCAACTCCCGCCAACTACGAGAATATGACTTCACCGCTATACCGAAGTGGTTCCGGCCAATTATATGTGAGCGATCAGTGTAGATGTCTTACAGATTTCTTATGCTGCGGTTGGGTTCTGCCCAGCCATTTCAGTGGTGGAGAAAACCCGCCACCATCAAGAGTTGAACCCGTCACCACCGTAACTCGAGACCTCCTGGTCTACAAAACGACAATTGATTCTTTCATTTCCTTGAAAGGAAATACAACAGTTTTTGGTTGTCTCAATCACCATCATTATCTGGCCTGGAGGGGAAGGATTCAGTAACATAAAGAACAGAAGATTGGAAGAGGAGAGAAGCAATAGAAGAATGAAATAAGAGTAATGTAACTAGAATACCGTAAAACTGGTAACATAAAGATGGTAATAGAAAGATATTGTTGAAAAAGAGAATACTGGAAGACCGGCAATGTAGATACATTTTCGTCCGGACGTTTTCCTGATTCGGAGTACAGCACGACGGCGCGCCGCGGCGGTAGTGACAACGGTCTACTCCTGGCGTGGCGGCCCGCGACCCGGCGACGTGCGTGTCGCGATCAGCGTCGTGCCTTTGTTGTGGTGAGGTGCTGTGGGGAGCTGGTCTCATTTGTCGCACCTGATAACGTGTGCAGGCGTGATAACGTGCCGGCGGGCATCAAGCTATAAGAGTTCTGTTCACAGACCGCGTTGATGCTTTATTCCTTTCAGCGCGCGTGCGTCACGCGGTCGCCCGCTGGCTGGCACGCGTGATCACGCGACCGTCCGACCCCTCGGTGTTTGCACCTTGATTTGAGAGTCCGCGCGAGAGTTCGGTTCCGCGTCGAATGTTGTTGTTTTGCGGTGTTGCTGGATGGGCGAGTTTGTCCAGTGTTAGTAAGCGATTTCTTTGGAAATACCACAACTGATTTTAACTGATTTTGGCAAATTGCTGTCTTTACTCATGTATCTCCAAGAACTCTAATAACATTTTTATAGTTTGTAAATACTTATTTTACCTCTGAGCTACAAGCGCAAATAATCCTTTGAACATATTCTTAGGTCTTTGGTATTGACAGAGCAAATTTGAACGGACACTTACAGACACAATTATCTAAGAGATGAGCTTCTGAATTGTATTATTTTAGATGCTTGGCGCTTCTACTTTCAGTAAAGTTCCTTTTTTACAGATACCAAAAGAATTCTGTGGTAGTTATAACTATCTTCTCTTACAATTAGAGAGAAGAGCATTGAACTTACTTGAAAAGTCTTCACCTGTTTTCTCAAATAATTTCTAATGAAGACTGTGACACATGATATTTTAATCAAATTTAACAGTTATTTCTTGCTTGGACTTATTAAAGGCAGAAAACACATTTTATTTCCTTTTCGAAGATCAAAGAGTACGTATTGATATAAGGGTGACGGTGTGGTCATTTGGTATAAAAAACCGATATAGTTATTGATCAGACGGTTTTTGCTTGCTGCTCATTTGAGTAATAATGATAACATTGACAATGACAGCAATTTCAAGTACCTCTCAAGGATCGTTTCCGTCGAATTGTGTACGAGAAAAAAAGCTTACAAAAATATGGCAACCGTGGTACGGTATTACATACAATTATAGATAATTTTGATAGACATCAAAAACTTCGCTTATGCTTCCTATGACTACCTACAATCAACCTCTTGTAGTGTTATTTTCAAAGATGTTCGGCAGAAATGAATCCGAAAATATTCAAGGAGTATTTTACGTGTCGTAGCTGAGTTAATTTATTGTCATTTGAGCTTCGCAGTTTCCGCACGAGTTGCACCGCTCCCGTCGTCTTTGGTGAATGCTGATTGGTTTTTGCGTAAAATTATTTTATGAAAATAGGTTTAAATGCAGTTTGTATTGTTTAGAAAATCATATTTTTTAACTACAAAACCAGATAATATAAATTGTACTTTTTATGACACCTTTTGTTTTTAAAAACACGTAGACAATGTCCCCGTGGACAAGTGGCGTGAATATCCACGTGCAGAGGTGCGTGTGCGATGTGGCTTGGCGCAGCGCGCGCGGGCGCGCCAAAGGGGACCGAGTCCTGTCGGGCTGTTCGGACGAGCGGCGCGGCGGCGGCGGCCCCGGCCCCCAGGCAATTAGCTGCCACCGGCCAGGGGAGAGCCCAGCGCCACTAATTCAGTCCCGTTAGCAGCCACCGCGCAAAGAGCTAGCGCCACTCCGCGCCCTCGCCCGATTGCTCGCTCGCCGGGCGAGAGGGCTCTTGGTCTCGACATCAGCCGCTCGTGACGCATGCCGTCGGAACGCAATGCCGTGAGAGAATGCGTGTGCGTATCATCTGTTCGTTACCACCGATGAAAACAATCGTACAGACATTATTACAGTTTGTTGTAATATATCGAAGTTTGAATAGTAAACCGCTCTTCTATTGTATAAATATGATGAGTATCGTAATAAGTATTAAATATGTAGGTCATGTACAATGAACGTGCACACTTCTGAATGTTGCAGATTATAAATTACCTCTCTCGCTTCACTTAACGGAGTAGAATACATTGGTAGTGGTATGTGTAACATCATTTTAAGCAGGGGAAGAGATTACAGATACCACAAATTTCCATTATATTGAACATTTTTGAAAACAAATACCACGTTCCATTTGTTATTGCTTCCCATATTTTTCGTTTTTTTAAATGCTTATTTGCAAAACAATTAAATGATTAAGAAAAATTCCGTCGGGGTGTAGCGATCAATCATACATGCAAATAATAGTATGTAGTATTTTCTGATGCGTAAAGGTATAGATCCGTGAGTACTCTCAACTAACGGGAACGGAGATCTACCTGCGACACAGAGCGAATCCACCATATTCCATTTTGTAAACCAATTAATAAGTGTGACATTTGTAGAGAATGTAGCATAATAAGAAATAATAGTGTAAACTACAATTTATGTTTGTTGCGAAGCAGAAACTATCCAAGATGCGACTTTGTATATTGTGAACACGAAACGCATGTCAGATGTCACAAATAGAGGATCTACGGGATCCACGAACCACACATATGATTATCATTGTTTGTAATGACTGTAACAATGCACATTGCTTCCCGTAAGGGTTCAAGTCCTGCCTGAAGGGCTGCGAGTAACCGTTGAGGAAGTCCCACCCACCTGCTACACACAGAGCTGGCGACCTGGCGCTCCTGCTAGTCTTGCGGGCCGCCAACGCGGCTCTCGGCACCATGCTGGCTGCTCTCGCTGCACGATCGCTTCGCGCCACCGGCGTCTCTCGCTCCGCTGTCGTGGGGGTGTGAGGGCGTGCGTGCGTGCGTTCGGGCGCGCGCGCGCGTATGTGTGTGGGAGAGAGCACCGGGAGGTAGCGGGGTCGGCGGCTGCGACGGCTGAGAAGGCGGCGCTGGCACGACTGCGGCGGGAAGCGCGCTTGTCCTGGAGTTATGCGTCCGCGCGCGGGAATGGCGGAGGAGAGGGGAGGAGCGGCTCCCGTTGGCCGGCTCTGCCGCTCGCCAATACGTCACTCGCCGCGCGGCGAATACGTTTGTTTATGTTGGTATGTCGATATTTTATTGGAGGTTCTTCCTTTTTTTCTTTTTTTTTAGTGAATGTTTATAATTCTACGTAGGTACTAACGTCAAACTGTAAGTTAAAAATCGTTTCAATACGGAGACCGAAATCCAAACCTTAATTTTTTCATCCTACAGGTAGTAATCGGATAATCTGTGAACATCCATCCGTCTGTCCATCACTCACGCGTCGACCCCTTCCGGTACACAGTTTGTAGCTAGTGAGGAGACGTGTCGTTCCAAGATATCGAAAGGGAGTAAATATTGTTCCTACGTGCAGTCCTTTAACACGTTGGGTGGTAAACAATCCAGGTTTTGTGGGTCCTTGATTTCGAAAAAAATGGTTGACAGTTTTCTCCAAAATTCATACGACGTTATCGATCTCGCTGAATTCGAGTTTTGAAGCTGATATTTTTAGTTTTTCTTATACTTTCATTAAATCGTAACGTTCAACGTTTTTAAAATCAGATATTGAATTTTTTTTATTGTTTCCTCGGCTAGACGATAGAACGTTTAAAAAAATGACACATATTGCATTTTCGTTGAACTTAATGAAAATTGAAAAACAATCCACTAATGCGAGAAAGTACGTGCTGTTCAACACCGTGTTTTCATATCCTTCGAGAACATTATTATTATTATTATTGTTATTATTTTTATTATTTTTATTATTATTAACTAACGGTACCACACAGTACATTTTCTCGCATTATTTCAATTTTTTTGAAAATTTTGGGAATGCTTTACCCAAGAAAAAAGTTTAATCCGAACAATTGAAGCCCTGTTTGAGAAAATTTTGAGGCTTCATGCAACGTAGGCCTACCCCCAAAAACATCTGTTTGAAACTCGCAATGCCTAGAGTTCGGCCAGAACGACGAGGAGTGTCACTTGTGAAGAAAATAGTTGGAACGGTTTAGATGCTAGTATTTACCAGAAGCAATCGATACTTCGGTATCAAAAACCCAAAAAATGTGGACTACACAACGTGTTAGATGAACTAACGTGGACACGGACACGTACACACGGAACAAGATTTACCCATTTCTGTCTAAATATCTCCTGTTCTTTCCGCGGCATAACAATTCTTTCTCGTTACTACGTAAGTACGTACTATGCCAAAAAATAAAATTAATACACAACACAGATGAAGTCGTGGGGAATGTGAAGTATGGGAAGACTATTATAAAAGTTACCTGTTGACGACCGTTTGGAGAGAGCAAGTAAGATGTCATTAGAAGCGAAATATCATTTGTTCCGTATCCTATTTTTCTAACTCAAGTTAGTGAACAACCAAGTTCTTCTTCAAGTATAGGAGATGCCACTTTAAGCTTGTTAAATGTTGTGCTTGAACTTTTACCAAATAAAACACTTTCGGTTGTTAAAACTAATGATGTTGAAACACCTCATACTTTGACGCCCGAACTGTGACGCAAAATTCCGCGAAAAGTCTAAAATTTTCGAAAAATTGTTCCTGACCTTATTTTGAAATCTATCTTTAAGGATCAGATTTCATTAAAGAAAAAAATCGTATCTTCATAATTGTAATTGTTAGAAGATGCCGAAAAAAGTTTCCAAAAATGAGGGTCTTTTTGCGAACATGAGAGTTGTACCATTCTCTTAAACGTCCTTCACACTATCCAACAAAAAATGAATCAAAAACGATGGAGACATTTTTTTGTTGAGAATGTCTCAATGGCTTCGTATAAAGTACCTCCCCCCCTCCACCGCCACCAAAAATTAGAATAGGGGCTGCAACATCCGTCAGATCGATTGGAGAGTCATATCATTTTTGAAGAAAAATTGACTGAACGGCTCAGCCGCTAGCGTTGTTCACGGACAGATAGACTCTTACACGTTTGGCCGTCATTCGATTTTTCGATATCAACGCCCCAAAACATGATTCTGGCTACACCACGTGTTAGAGGATTCCCTCCCTAAATTTAGCAACTGGATGTATCCACTTTTTCGCTACCAGGGTCCCGTAATAAGAGTTTTCTGCTGGACGTTTGCCGTTTTTTCGCGCAGTATTACGTAACTTTCTCTCAACCGCGTAAGCGGTAGCGAGAAAGTAATATCTTGTGATTTCCTGCAACTTGCTCTGCTTGGTTCACGTCTTCATGATTCAGCGATTCATAGTGTAAACATCAGGTGTCTTGATTTTCGGGCCTTTTTAAACTTGAAAATATGGACTAATATCTTATGTTTATCAGATGTCTCAGACGGAAAAAATATTATTTCATTTTAATTTCTGAAAATTAAGCGCAAAGGTTTCTGCAGATACGGAATAAATCGTAGTCACACAGTTATATTTATTTCAGATAAATAAATGCATACATATATAAATAAAATAAACAAAATTAAATAAGAATGTAGAAAAAACGTTTCTGAACTGTCCAAAATCTAAATGATTTGTTTGTGTGGAGCAACGTCGAGTGCGCGGAGCAGATTGCAGGTTCGAGCCCCTCGCAAGGCATGCGCTTGCGACATGTTGGTTCCTTATCCCACCGCGAGCCACATCTGAATTATCATTCACAACAGTAATACATTTGTGTCATCATCACGTGAAAGGTTGTGGCAAACCAGCAGCTCTGTCATCTTTTCAGGAACGGGGAGGACATTTTGATATAAGCTTCATCCCTCGCCTACGCTTAGGGTGCGAGCGTGGGACTCATCGTCATGCCGTGTTGTGTGAATGCAGATCTCGATTTCAGAGAAGATTTTTTCCCCCAAGAATGCTTTTAATTCAGGAATAAACTCTTGTTCACTTAATGCTGGATGATTCATACTATTCGCGATTCACCTAGAAACCACTAGGGTCTGAGCGAAGTTCACATTTCCAGCGGTCGGTTGATGTTACGTAGTTGGTTGTTGGCCTTGTGGTTTGATTTGTTTGGCGAAATGACGTTATTCTTGTTCCGGGTTTCTTCCATTCATCGCTCGTGGGATGTAACATCTTTTCGCATGCAAAATCTCTGTCGTAGTTTAGAAATACGTTCGGAATGTTTACAATGCTAACGCTTGGATATCGGAGTTTCATTAACTACGGGAATAAAGGTATCGATTTCCTTTTTGTATATTCCTCAAATAGTTTGTTTCGTAAAAGGTTCACTTTAGTTAGGGTTGTCACTGCATTTTTAATAGAAATGCATCCTCGATGATCCGTAAGGAAATTAAATATATGTACTTATAAAGATATTTATAGAACTGATAATGCATATCTCTTAGAGATATCTGGCATTCACAACACGTGCATACTGGCACGAGTATGCGATCTTTCACCATATAGAGATATTATTTCCATTTCCGGAGGAACTGTCAATAATCGTTTTATTCAAAGTAATATTCCTTGGAATTCCTACGACTCTCCAAATACCATCTAAACGATGACGTTTGTGGATTTATGACGAAATTAAACACCTATTGTGATGAGAGAGACCAAACTAACATGAGAGGATCGGTGTTATGTGTAGTGCAATTAAAGATCGAGGTGAATATAATTTTCTTCACGCTTCTATATTTTCAACCAATTTATTGACGGAGGTAGAGGTGGCTGAGAGCATGAACTGCAGTGCCTCTGCCAGCGAGGACCTGAGGTTCGAGTATCGACGGAGGCAGGATTTTTGATACTAGTTAGATAGTTGGGTTCAGTCGCTGTGAAAATTTGAAGAAAATCCCGGCGGCCGATTGCTCTGATCAATACCAGGCGAATGCGGGAGCAGTATTCCAACTAACGGACCGCGCGCAATCTTTCCTTATCTTCTACGTGTTTATCCGATCTAAAATCGAAATTGTTTTTTAAAATGCTAAAATAGATCCTCAAATGTAAATATATAGGAGAACAAAAAGTAATTCCACCTAAAGATTTTGCCACCCGGCACACATATGTAATGTTGTGTTTTTATTATTTATTTTTTTAGGCAGTGCCGTCTTTCTGATTATAGTGAATGAAAACTGATTGAACTTGCATACCTCCCAACAAAACAACATTGCTAACACGAGTCGATGGTGATATAGACAGGCGGTGTATCCAGACGCTGTTTCTATGTTGATTCTCAATTGTGTGATTATAACTAATATTATTATAACTAAAAATGCAGGATGTAACAAGTTAGGTCGGGTTTATCTTGACAGGCCATTAAAGATGTGGAGGCGGATAATAAAATATTAACTGATTATTTCTGTAGCTGCTTGTAGGATCTTTTTGATTTTTGTTTTAAATGAAAGGTAATAAAAACATCTTTAATAAATGACTTTATACACTTGGGGATATATTGCGCGTTGCGTGGGTTAATTGTAAATTTAGGGGGAAATTCAGAAGATTTCCACGAACATTGGGGTCCTTTCGCTAACTCTTTAACTCCTTTGCTCTCGTTGATGTAATAATTCAATTAATTGAAAAAAATGTATTGCAGGTCTTTGATAAAATATTGTTTAAAAAATTGGCTTCTCCTTTGCAAGCACATAATTACGCGAAATCAACTTGCTTTTTCCAAAATGTTTGTACATTGTCTTTTTGATAATAACTAATTTTCTTAGAAAAGAATTTATTTGAGAAAAACGAATCTCCATAATTGAATCAATGGATCTCGGCTCTCTCTCTCTCTCGTCTCTCCTCCGTCATCTCTCTCTATTGCTCTCTCTCTCTCTCTCTCTCGTCTCTTCT